CTCGCAAAGTGCCTACTCGCAAGCGTCGGAAAAGTACACGTCTTCCTCTGTATGAGGTCGTAAATCTTGGCGGCGGATCCAAGCCGTTTGCGAGTAGTTTCTTTGCGAGTTGTGAAATGCGCTCGTTTAGGGTAGGTAAACAAACACTGACATAAACATAAAAACTCGGAGGTCCGCGCGGCTTGCTCGAATCGGCGCTGGACCCCCCTCCCTGGCGGGCGGAGCGCGCCAGGGGCGGCGCCGTAGGCGCCGCCAGGGTGTCCCAGCGCCCATCCGAGAAATTCGCGGGGACCTCCGAGTTTTTTGTTGTTTAAGTCGGGCGTGTCCCTCTACAGGAGGAGTATCCAAAAATAGGCAAGAAATAGTCAGCGGACGATGCTTCTAGTATGTTGTTTGTTGTTGTTGTTGTTGCTATTTTGGTTGATTATCTTTTAAGCTTCCCTCTAGAATCCGCCTGTAGGGGGACATGCCCGACCTGGTTGTATGTTTACGCCATTGTTTGTTCCCCCCTCGGGGGGCGCCCTCCCTCGGGGTGCCTCCCGCTGCCCCCCCCGGAGCTGGCCCGCGTGCCGTTGGAGGCAGGGGCGCTCCCGCGGAACATGGGGCGGACGCCCTCCCCCGGACGGTTGCGCCACTGGCTGCCACAGGCTCGCGCCGTGGGAGGAGGAGGAGGAGGAGGAGGAGGGGAGGGGGAGGGGGGGGAGGGAGAGGGGGAGGGGGAGGATGGATGAGGAGGAGGAGGAGGGAGAGGAGGAGGAGGAGGAGGAGGAGGAGGAGGAGGAGGAGGAGGAGGGAGGAGGAGGAGGAGGAGGAGGAGGAGGAGGAGGAGGAGCGGGAGGGGAGGAGGAGGGGGAGGAGGAGGAGGAGGAGGAGGAGGAGGAGGAGGGGAGGAGAGGAGGAGGAGGAGGAGGAGGAGGAGGAGGAGGAGGAGGAGGAGGAGGAGGAGGAGGAGGAGGAGGAGGAGGAGGAGGAGGAGGAGGAGGAGGAGGAGGAGGAGGAGGAGGAGGAGGAGGAGGAGGAGGGGGTTCCCCCTTCCATGGCCCACTTCAATTTCGGCACTTGCCGATTCTGGCCGTCCTGATTCGATTCGATTCCGATCTTCCGGCGGTCCGATGCCCCCCGATGCGTGCATGGCGTTGTCGTGCATCCTGTCGCAGCCGATTCGATTGGGTGTCGACTCCGTGACGATGCAGCCCGATCCGACGCACATTCCCATTCGATTTCCCGATTCGACCCGATTTCTCGATTCGATGCTGATTGACCCTGCCTCCTCCTTCACCAAAGGCCGCGGACTACTGATGCCACGGCCGCCTCCACCTGGTTGGTCTCAGCCAGCCCCGGACGCTTGTCAGCAGTTGTGGTCGTTCGGTCTTCCGTTCGTTCCTCCTTCTTCACCTCTCTTCCGTGTCCGTAGGGCGGGCTGCGCGCCAGTTTCAGGGTCCTGGTGGGTTTTAGTGCCAGGACCTCCCCCCTGTCTCAAGCAGCTGCGGAGCTTGGAGCCGAGCAAGATTTTAGGACTCCTGCTCATCGTCGCGCTGCTTTCCCTGCTTACTCCTCGCGCTCCTCCACCTCCTTCTTCTCTTCATCCTTCTCCTCTTCTTGCTTCCTCCTCCTCCTCCTCCTCCTCCTCTTCTCCCTCGTTGTCCTCAGCATCCCTCTGACTCCCTCCACCTCCTCATCCGAACAATTCCTCGTCCTCCGCCCCTGCCCTCCAGGTTGCCGACCGGGATCGGCACGCGGGCCAGACACAGAGAGAGAGGAAGTGTGTGGGAACTCGGCGCGATGGAGGAGTCCTCCCGAGGCGGTGGCCTGAGCCCCACCCCGAGGACCAGAGAACGAACGCCCCCCAGGGAGGAGAGCCACTGGCCCGAGGATGACCCCAGGCAGCGCCAGCGACCCCGACGCCCACCCCGAAGTCGCAGCCCAGCAGACGCTGCCTTGGGCAGCGAGTGCGTCGCTGCCGGCACCCCCCCACGACCGGGCCAGCCCGCCGCCCCATCCCCCTTCTGCGTTCCAGCAGCATGCCCCGCCGCGTGGGCTCTGGGGTGGGCGCGTGCAGCCGGCGGACACCCGTGCTGGGCGCAGAGGCGGTGCCACCCACGGGATGGTCCTTCGCAGAGGCCGTCCTCGCAGCTCGGGCCCTCGGTCCCAGCGGCGCGGCTCAACGAACGTCCGAACCAGGGGGGGGGGAGCCGCGGGACGAGCACAGGCCGTGATACCGTTGTGCCCCAACTCAATCACAATACTCAGGGGCGGCCTAACCGACCCCGAGCAAACCGTCCCCTTCCGTGAAGTCCCCCTCGCCTCACCCCACGACGTGCGCATGCGGCCGGAGGGAGGCCTGGAGGGCGAGGGGGACGTCACGGAAGGTGCTCGTCACGGAAGGAGTCGTCTAGGTTGCGCCCGATATGCGTTGTAGGAAACGTTGGAGCACGCTATTATGCGCAGGTCGAGTTCGATGGCGAAATCGTCACGTCAATTCTTAGCTTCCCTACCCAGT